GGTCCGAAGGGTGCCTCCGAGCAGGAGGTCGACCGCCGAGGGTCCCTCGCTTGAAATTTCCTCGGCGGGACGTTTTCCGCCGCGACGATCCTTTGTCACGGCCGGAGTCGAGGTTTCCGCCGCGTTACCGCCGCTAGAATTATTCGAATTGTCGCGGTTAAGTGCCGGGTTGACCGGAGCCATCGTTGCGAGGTTGCGCTTAAGGATGTCGTTAAGGAGCGTTGACGGGGCAGTGAAACGCGGAAGCGACTGAGTCTTCGCCAGTGTGGACGAGAACGAAATTAGAACTACAATTTTGAAAATGAAAACGTGGGTGGGGACGAATGTCCCCACGTCCCTCTTTTGTAGGCAAAAGAGGGTGAGTAGCGCTTCGGCGCTACCTTTGCTGTGTTGGCCACATACCTCTTTTCACAATACAAAATTTTAGAAAGTGTTACATTTCATTACACTTTCAAAAATTATCATTTCATATCAACAAATTTCTCAATGAGATTACACTACACAGTAGTCAAACAGCATCATCTATATACAACATCCTTCACTCAAATAACAATAATTCAAGCTACCATAAATCACTAGTGAGTCAAATTCACCTTCACCTTCCAAGGCTGCAAGCAACAGCCCGTTATAATATGGTAAGAAAGCATAAACAAAATAAACAAGAGTGAAAGGTTATGAGAGCCCACTCCCTCAACAATGGAGGTAAAAGGCCAATCCTGGGTTCTTGAGATCCCCCTAAGGCAAACAGCAGCAGCAGCAGCTGAAGAACTCCTTGCAGGGCTCCAGCACGGATTATTATATTTATGTGTACCACCTCCCACGCTGTGTGACAGCTCCACCTAATTAAAACGCGCCTGTCATTATAAGCAGAAATCAGCTACACCTCTCCAGCATCTGAAGTACCAACGCCGATCAAGATTCGAATCGTAGGTCTTGAACAGACTTCGTCTTGAATCCCGCGTGTACAACGCGCGAACAGGGTGAGAAACCGTCGAAAGCTGCAGATTCAGAGTATTCCGTAAGCGTCTCTCTTCTGTGAACGTCGTTCCGCATTACAGCATCCTGTGTGCATGCCTGAGAACGTCGCTCTCAGTGATTATTCCCACCACAGTCATACGTCCGTCCTCGTCGCCAACTGGAGCGACAACTGGCAGACGAGCAATCTGAGAAGAATAAAATTGGGACGAGAGAACGAGATTCAGAAAAGCGCGGAGGCTGAAGGTAGAGATCAAGAGAGAGAATCGCAGACAGGAATTACATCATTCCTCAACTGCGGGAACGCTTAACACAGCGAACACAGAAGCGAGGAAGAGAGCTGTATTATTACGAACAAACCACCAGGGTTGCACGAATAGCCATGCTTACATTATGATTGAGCATCAGCTCTGCAGCGTCTGAGACCAGCGCGTCCGCTTCAACGTAGACGGGAGTGTCGGTCATTGACTCGCCGACCTAAAAGAGATTTAGAAATCAGGGAATCAACATTGGATGGGTCAGCGAGAAAACAAGTTTTAACAAAGAAAACATATGACGAACGGAAGTTCAAAATACTGCTCTGTTGATATCAGGAAACCGGCACAAAACAGGGTTACAATGTCTAAAAAAAATTGAAGAAAAAAACGTACCTTCTCGCTCATAATTTTCGTGATCTGATGTCTCAGCGTGTCCACCATGGGACCGTGGTTCAGGTTGCCGTAGTAGCACGAAAGGCGGTGAATCTTGTCCTCTTCCTGATGTGGTGGAAAAGTGAATGACACCACCATACACGCAATCGAGAACACAGAAAACACGTATGGTACAAATGATTTTAGAACCGAGTGAAGGCGCGAGTCGATGAAAGCACAGCGGAACTAAAGCACATGGCACAGTACTAACACTGAAAGAGATGAGGAAATAGAAAAAATGAACGAACGGGGGGTGGGGGTTGGGAGAAGAGGGGGGGGAAGGGAGGGTGGGGGGGAAAGGGGGGACGGGGAAGGGCGGGGAAGGGGGACAAGAAGGAACAAGAGGGAGGAAGCGGACGAACAAACAAGAGAGATGAGGCATTGGCTGACATGAAGGGCGAAACGAGGTAGCTTACAGAAGGAAAAGGCTTCCGCTGCTTCCAGAGAAGATCCCGTTGCGACAGCACGCCAACGAGCCGACCCATTCCCACCGCATCCCCCTCTAGAGGCTCCACGACCGGCGCTCCCGTGAGACGATACCGCAGCAGAGCCTTCGCCGCGGCGCATAGCGACGTCTCTGTTCGGAAACACAACGGGTTCGGGGTCATAAACTCGCCGACTTTCCGGTCCTCCCACGTGTCGACGCTCTCGCCAATCCGCGTCAGCCGTTCGTCTTCCGCGAAATCGTGGCTGAAATCGTCCTCGTCGTCAAGAGGCGTGTGGCTTCCGGGTAGAAGCGTTGTTGTGTCGGCGAGGTACACGCTGTTGCTGACGAAGCCTGTGGTCTCACGCTCAAGGAAAGGCGAACGACGCTCCACGTCCTGCCACGTGTCGGCCTCGGAGCTCTTCCTCGGCGCGCTTCGGCTTAGGGTCGATTCGGCGGATGAATCGCACGATACTCGAAGGACGGATGGACTCTCCTTGGTGATGCGTCGCGGAATCTTGGCGGAGAGAGTTTGCGAGGGAAAGCTAGAGAGACGTAGAGCGGCAACGCAACGAACGGCTTCCATGACCAGGGACTAAGAACGTCTGAGAAACGAAAATTGAAGATCTGGACCGACGCTAGTGATTCCTAAATCTGCGTGTCTCCTTGCTTCGGATGCTGACAGAAGCAGGACGCTGAGAAGTTATGATGATTGTAAGTATGTAGCGAAATGAAGGATGCGAGGTTTGTCTGTCGCTGTCGGTGGTTGCTGAGGAGATAGGTAACGTATTTAGCCAACAGTCTAGGAATAACTTATGTATGGAAGTGGAAAAAGTGAGCAGTCCTGGTGGAATGAGGAGAGGAGAGGAGAGACGGCGGAAGGGAGGGGAAAGCGCAGAGATGTGCTCGTGAGGAGGAAATGTTGCGGATATTAACTTTTGTCATTCCATGCTTTCGGTCAGTGTTGATGTGATGAGGGGAGAGGAAAATAAAATTCATCCGTATGCGTTGGACTGCTGTGGTGTCGACTTGGTGTGATATACACGTATTTGTGTTTTTGTTGAGTTTTAATCAGTGGCGCCTACCCACCTTTTGAAAATTTCTTCATAGCGTTACTTCATATCAATAATCCTCAGGGGGGGTCACGCTAGGACACGAGGGGTTTGGCGGAAGGGAAGCTTGGGTTGGGGGAGCGCAGGCTGTGAAGCGGTTGCCTCGCACGGTCGCACCAGCAGTTCCAAGCGGTTTCCATTCCACTAAGTCGGAAAACCGACGCGTTCGATGAATGATGATGATGATGATGATGATGATGATGTGTGATGTGATGTGCGTCGGCGGGGCGGGAGGGGAAACTCCTTTCTCAGAACACGCAGGGAGGGAGGGCCATTGTTCAGGCAGACTGGGTTGCGTGCACCGGGGTCGGAAGAAGCGGTGGGGCGGAGTGGATCCCTTTGGCGCCGAAGCACCTCCTCCAGTTCGCAGCGGGTGGAAGGAAACCGTGATGCTGATGGCGACGGCGGCGGGGTATGGTTTGGGTTTGGTTTGGGGCTACATGCGTGGGGCAGTTTGGGAAGAGATGCTTTCACTGCTGCATTCAGGGGTCGCATATTCGGGCGCAATTATCCCAGGTCGGCGACGCGTACCGCCATTTTAGCAGAGCCCATCATCAACGCATTCCCCGAGTCATTACACGGCGAAAGAAACGCATCAGCTGACCTGACCTGACCTGTCTGCCTGGCCTGACAGAGTGGTTGGTTGTCTAGTCGATTGTGGTCGTGGCATATGTATCTCATTCTTTCCCATGCCCGAAACACATAGTCCGGGGAAAATTGAACCATAAATGTTTGCTGGTGCCTCACTGTACGTACAATTTTGAGCCTGCGCAGGACTTTCGGACTGACCAAAGCGTGATGTTGACCACACTCCATCAGTCCCACCTTAAACCCTGTACAGTATTTCAAGCACCTTCGCGACAAAATGCAACGACTTGTCAGCTGGCAAATCGTTTTTAAAAACAGAGCAGACTGCTCCCGTATCCACGGAAATCGCTGATCTGGCGTCCAACCTCCTCGGAGCAGCCACCACTGGCGATCTGCGACCGTGACGTGGTGATCGCCGCTGCCTTGATTGGTGTCCCAAGACGTGACAAGTATGGACGTGAAGCCACGCAGGGTCGAGTCACCAATCAGTGATGTTGTCAGTTCGCGAGGATTCTTCGCACGAGGGAACGGTGGTGCACTTATCCCTTCTCTTGGATGTGTTATAACGAACAGGGTGTATGGAGAAATAGCAACTTCTTGAGTAGCTTTTATGCGTATGGAGTGTCAGAGTATTCACATGTAATATGCAGAACCGGGTTTGCAATGTCGCGAGACTAGGGGTCTTGCTTGGCCGGCAACCAACTGATAAAAGCAACCTGGCGTCAAACCAGGCGGCTAAGGAGAACCTGACGACATACCAGCCAAAAGTCGGTCAAGGTCAATCAGAAACGTAGCAGTGCATAGCTCTTCCGCTAATCCCGCATGTCACGGGTTGGCACGTGTATCGTAGGGGTGGCAAGCAGGGCAGCACGAATCCACACCGCTCAAACGGGTTGGCACGTGTATCAAAGATTCAATCACGCTCCGTGCAAAAATCAGAGTCAGATTCAGTGGTACAATACTCCAGTGCACACCTCTTATGTCACAGTCGCGTCGCGTCGTACGACGAACGGCTGTGACGGAAAGAATGGTTTCTCGCGAACCATCGTCGTCAAAGACCACGCCCACCTGCCGTGAAAGTAAAAATTGCACGGCTTACATTCCGTTTCAAGCATTTCCGAAAGAGAAACTTGTTTTTCATACCGTGACGAGCTTTGAGGCGCTCTCCGACACATCACGTTCTTATACCGTGACGAGTCGCCTTCAACGACGATGTCTCGTATCAAGGCCGTCGAGTCGATAATACCGTACCCCGTCGCGCTCGCTTGGGCGGTAATCGCAACGATTCTCCTCTGCTCGCTCTCGATCGTCACCTTTCAGTTTCCCCATGGCTGCGGAGAGAAAAGCAATGTCTTAGGGCTCGCCGCCGATGATGGACCACCAGAAGGCGCCGGTCTCTCGCAGAGCGGCGGTCTCGCGCTGAAACTTGCAGACGAAGCCAACATCGCCGATATTACCGCCGGCGCTGGCTCCGCACCGCCTCCGGCCGGCGCTTCCGATTCGCCGACCGGAGGCGGTCCGGCGGGAGAGACAGCGTCTTGCAGTGATTGGTTGTCAGCCAGCCGTCCAGTTCAAGGCGGCGCGCTCCCAGATCCGTGGGAGTCTACTAAGGTAGCAGTTTTACTTCCCCAAAATGTACTGACCCACAGGTGGTAACTCTCCGGTTGTCTTGTTGTACCTAGGTCACTTTGGGGACAGATTGAGATACCCAAAAGATACTTGGGGGTCAGGTACGGGTCAAATACTCTGGGGTCACACCTGGTCAGCGCATGGTCAGTCTATATCCCCTATATAGCATGTTTCGATTTTCTTAAAAATATTAAAAAAAAAATGGTGATGTCACTAGTATTAGTAGCAAGTTATTTTTAAGGTAGTAATGTATAAGGACGTCAGGTGACCTGGCTGTTCGTTTCGGTGCTTCGGAAGCTCTTTCTGTCTCGCCCTAACCTGCATTCCCCCAATGCCTGCTCGCATTCCCCCAACCTGAAAGAGCTTTTTCTTATCAAATGGAATCCTTGCCATCCTTCACGGAGCATCTCTTATAAAAAAATTACTCCCTTCCCCTGCCCCACGGAGCACCTTTCCTTCAATATTTTTTTTTCTTTTTTTCTGCCCTTTCCCCTGCCGGTCTCTCCCACAAATACCCACAGTGGACGCAACGCGTTTCCCCGTGCCTTGTGGCGGGGCTGCCTATAGAGGAGCTCGAAGCGCATCTGAACTTCCGCCGGGGGTGGACCCTCGGGTTCGTGGACGACGTGGAAGATAAGACGCAGGTTCTGCCGATGATGCGCGGCGCCATGGACCTTAAAATGCACACAAGGTACATGGCGACAGTAAATAGTAGCGGTAGTACTAATTGCGGGTAACTGTTCTATCGTCTGTGGCGTCGCTCAAACCAGATGTGTTTGCAACTTGTTTGCCTTCTTGCCTCCGCCCTCGTCGCCGTCGCCCTCGTCGCTGTAGCGCTACAGCCTGGAGCTTACATCGGCCTCAGAGCCAAGACGTTCAACGCGACCTAATCACCAAGATCCGCGTTTGATAGAATGCAAAGTCGTCACAAGAGATCTTTCATGCATCTTTGCTTCCTAATTCTCCAATCTTCCCTTCAAATTCCGTGTTCCCACAGGGAGCGGAGGGTTTATATCGACCTCGGAGCTAAGACGTTCGACACGAGTGTAACCTGGTTTCTCCGTATGTACCCCCTCGATTTCACCGAGATCCACGCCGTGGAAGCGAGACCCGACGTGTTCCAAAAGCCAAATACAACAGTGCCAAAGGTGTGTGATATACACACATATATATAGCCAATATAAACAAGAAAATAATAAACGGTAATTGGAGGGGTCAGAAAGGCATGTAAACAGCAAACGAGGGCCGGGAGAGACGTTTGGCCAGGGGGTAGCTAGGGGGGAGGGAGTGGTTGGGGGGGGAGAGGGGGGGGAAGAGACGAAGGGAAAGGAGGAGGGCTTAAGGGCAAACAGTGCTGAACAGACTACGTTTTTTGTTCTGTCAAGGAAAATGCTTAAGCTGTAAACTAAAGCGGCCGGCATAGGTTCTGCCAGAGTATTGTTGTTGTATTTCTTTGTGATGCGTAACACGGGACGTGCCCACGTCCTCATCCCTACATTATGCATCCCCACACGTCCATCATTTCCCTGAGCCAAGCCCTCATACCCCACACCCGTCCCCCGCTTTCTTCAATCCCCTCCCCCCTGTTTCACCTCTCCTGCCTTGTTAAATACCTATAATCCTCCGAAGCTCCAGAAAAATCTTGATAAACCCCTCTAACAAATCTAATCATGTATTCTGAAAACCCCACTTCAACCACTTTCAACCCCTCACAACCCTTCCTTGTCACTCTGAACTGCTCCAGGTACTGGCAAATGATTTGGGCGAGGATTCACGCCTGCGTCCGAAAGGCCAAGGTCCGGCAGACTTCCCACAATGGCTGCTGGAACGCGTTCATCCATACACCTTCTTCGTCTCTTCCATGGACGACCAAGAGAAGGTAAACATATATCTCGAATTGGACGTTGACTTTTGAGTCGACTCTCTCACTCCCACAGCGGTTGCTGCAACGCGGTCATCCGTACAACTTCTTCGTCTCTTCCGAAGACGACCAAGAGAAGGTGAATATATATCAAATAGGAAGTCGACTTTGAGTCCACACTCCCACAATGGCTGCTGGAACACATTCATCCCCATAACTTCTTTGTCTCTTCCGAGGACGACCAAGAGCAGGTATATATTTATTTCAAAGAAAAAGCTCAGTAGCACCTGAGTCATGCCGAATCAAGGCCTTTCTGTTTTGCTCTGTAGGCGTCGTGTCCCCCCGTTGCTGGCTTTTTCATATTTTCCCCCCTTTCCTGCTCGGTTCAACCCTCTCTCTCTCCTATTTTCCCCCCTTTCTTGCCCTGCTGTTCCCTCTTCCCCTGCTGTTCCCCTCTTCCCCTGCTGTTCCCCTCTGCTGATTTTCGCCTCCTTCCTCGCTGTGCCACTGAGAAAGAGATCAGGTGGTATCCCTTTCCTCCTCCCTCCTCCCTCCCCTCCCCCCTCCCCTCCCCCTTCTCTCATCAGAACTCGGCCTCCTTTTTCCCATCTCCCCCTTTTCTTTTCCTCTCTCTCTCTCCTCCTCTCTCTCTCCCCCTCTATCTCCCCTCACAGAACCTGGTCAACGTCACCAGATGGTTGCTGGAGGACCTGCAGTTGAAGGAAGAGGACTCGGTCGTTGTCAAGATGGATATTGAAGGGTACGAGTGGCCGATTCTGCAGCACTGGCTCTCCAACCCGCGCATGGCAGCTATAGTTGACGAGCTTTTTGTTGAGGTGCATTATAGCCATCCGAGCATGACGGCGTTTATGTGGAAAGGGCCGGGATTCGAGCACTCGCGCGAGAATACGACACAACTGCTGACTGATCTGAGGAAGGCTGGATATTATGTGCATCCCTGGCCATAGATGGTTGTGGTCATAGATGGTTGTAGTGTGACGTGGAGCTGTGTTATCAAGCTACAATAGCCTTATGGCCGTTACTATATGCCTGGGTTTAGGTATGGATCCTTATGTTTCAGACGTGTTCTGTTACAAACCCTGACAAGAACATGATTGGTGAGTATGGACGTGAAGATACGCAGGGTCAAGTCACCAATCAGTGATGTTGTCAGTTCGTAATCATTCTCACGAGGAAACGGCGGTGCCCTTATCCCTCGCATGTGTTATAACGAGCAGGGTGTATATGAATCAGCTTTCACGTTACAGTTGCTTTCATGTGTGTTTAGGCACTTCACTCAACTGGGTTTACAATGTCGCGAAAATCATGTTAAGGTTATTACGACAAACCAGCCAAAAGTCGGTGAAGGTCAATCAGAAACGGACAGCTGTTCCGCTAATCCCGCATGCCAACACGCGCCAGCACGTGTATCGTAGAAGTGGCAATGGCAAGCAAGGCAACAAATCCACACCACTCAAACATTGAATCGGATCGGAGGTTCGAAAATCACGCTCTGTGGAAAAATCACGCAGTGTGAGAAAATCACGTGCAACGCACACCTGTCGCAGTAGTCGCGTCATTACAACGAACCGCTGCGACGGGAAGTATAGTTTCTCTCGAACCATAGTCGCCAAAGTCCATGTGCACCCGTCGCCATGAAAGTAAAACGTCCATCATACCGTGAGAAGTTTTGAGGTGCCTCAAACGTCACCTCCGACATACCTTATACCGTGACGAGTCGCCTTCGACGACAATGTCTCATTTCAAGGCCGTCGAGTCGATCATACCGTACCCCGTCGCGCTCGCGTGGGCGATAATCGCGACGATTCTCCTCAACTCGCTCGCGATCGTCACATTTCAATTTCCCCATGGCTGCGGCGGAGAGAACGGCGATGTCTTGGCGGGAGTAGTGAGCCTCGCCGCAGATAACGGACCACCAGAAGGCCCGGCCTTAGGGAATGTCTTAGGCCTCGCTGCAGAGAACGGGCCACCAGAAGGCGCCGCCGCCGGTCTCGCCTAGATGACGGACCATCAGAAGGCGTGGATCCCTCGCAGAGCGGCGGTCTCTCGCAGAGCGACGGTCTCTCGCAGAGCGACGGTCTCTCGCAAAGCGGCGGTCTCTCGCAGAGCGCCGGTCTCTCGAAGAGCGGCGGTCTCACGCTGAAGCTCGCAGACGAAGCCGGCCGATATTGCCGCCGGCGCCGCCGTTTTGGGCCAAAACCTTTTGCGTGGCGGCGCCGCACCGCCTCCGGCCGGCGCTTCCGATTCGCCGGCCGGAGGCGATGCGGCGGGAGAGACAGCGGCCTGCACTAATTCGTCGTCAGCCAGCCGTCCGATTCTAGTCAGAGCTCCCAGATCCGTGGGCGTTTAATAAGGTAGGAATGTTAACTAGTATTTGTTAGAATACTAAGAGTAGATTAAGAACCATGGTTTAGGGTTAGGCACAAGCCAGGAACAAGAGAGAGGAGTCCAAGCAAGAAGGGGGATTGCACTATGGAATGTCAGGTACAAATAAATGAGAAGCAAGCTAGGAGTGGTGCATCACCACACAGAATACATTTGTGACTACACTACAGCTGGACAACATGCACTTATACAAAACATATGCAATACATGTTCTGACACACCCCCTAAGTGCATGCAGGAATAGCCTTGTGCAGAACACCCCTTGAAGTGGTGCACCCTGCAAGGAGTAGCAGAAGAAGAGGCGAAGTGAGGAGGAGGAGGGATTGTGAGAGGAGTGGAGATAGGAGGCGACAGGGGAAGCCGCAGTCACACAGGCAACAGGAGCGGCGCGCACAGTGGCTACCGAGCGCACGAGGGCACCGGAATACGGGAGTATCTGGCTCCGCGGCTACGACGAGCGGCAGGAGCAACGGACCCACAAGCGACTGGCGAAGCAGGCTCGCTGGGCTAGAGAAAGCACAAGGGCTCCGGACTACTAGCGCTGCTGACGACACGACGGCGACCTCCGCTCAACCTCCCCTAACAGTCCCACACCCCCTTCTCACACACCCCTTTGCTGCACCCCTAGCTCCACTCCTACGACACCCCCTTAGCGCCACTCCCTCGGCTCCCACACACCCACCCTCCTCAGCGGCAGCTGCAGCAGTGGGAGACAGAGTAGGAGGAGGAGCAGGGAACGGCTGACACACCCGCCACCCCCATAACCGCCACCCCCATACCCGCCACCCCAAGATCCAAACGCAGGCGGGGCGGGGCGAGTAGTAGCTGGGGCGGCGTGCGAGCGGAAAGCATGGCGGGGCGCGGGTCCCTGGGGCGCTGCGACGGGCGACGAACAGGGCGGCGCGCGGGCCCCCAAGGCGCCACGACGGGCGATGGGAGGGGGCGACGCGTGGGCCCCTTGGGCGCCGCGACGGACGACGGGAGGGGGGTGACGCGCGGGCCCCCAGGGTGCCACGACGGGCGACGAGAAGGGGGCGACGCGCGAGCCCCCAGGGCGCCACGACGGGCGACGGGAGGGGACAACGCGCGGGCCCCTAGGGTGCCGCGATGAGCGACGAAACCGCCACGCGCGCCCGGGGCGCGCGGCGGGCAGGAAACCGCCACGCGCCCCGAGCGCGTGGCGGGAAGAAAAAAAAGAAGGTCGCGCGCCACGGGGCGCGCGACAGACAGTATGGCAGCGGAAGCAGGCGGGCCCACAGGCCAGGAGCATAACCACTCTGTTACCATGTTAGAATACTAAGAGTAGATTAAGAACCATGGTTTAGGGTTTAGGCACAAGCTAGGAACAAGAGAGAGGAGTCCAAGCAAGAAGGGGGATTGCACTATGGAATGTCAGATACAAATAGAAGAGAAGCAATCTAGGAGTGGTGCACCACCACACAGAATACATTTGTGACTACACTACAGCTACACAACATGCGTTTATACAAAACATATGCAATACATGTTCTGACAGTATAAGTAGCAAGTTATTTCTAAGGTAGTGCTGTAATAAGGACTTCAGGTGACCTGGCTGTTCGTTTCGGTGCTTCAGAAGCTCTTTCTGTCTCGCCCTAACCTGCATTCCCCTAATGCATGCTCACATTCCCCCAAGGCATGCTCGCATTCCCCAAATGCATGCTCGCATTCCCCCAATGCATGCTCGCATTCCCCCAATGCATGCTCGCATTCCCCCAATGCATGCTCGCATTCCCCCAATGCATGCTCGCATTCCCCCAATGCATGCTCGCATTCCCCCAATGCATGCTCGCATTCCCCCAATGCATGCTCGCATTCCCCCAATGCATGCTCGCATTCCCCCAATGCATGCTCGCATTCCCCCAATGCATGCTTGCATTCCCCCAATGCATGCTCGCATTCCCCCATTGCCTGCTCGCATTCCCCCAATGCATGCTCGCATTCCCCCAATGCATGCTCGCATTCCCCCAGTTCTTTCCGTCTCACCATAACCTGCATTAATTCCCCCAATGCCTTGCCTTCTCGCATCCAGAATGAGCTGAAATGAGCTCTTCCATATCACTCAACGGGATCCATACCACTCCCCCAATAGCCTATTTATGAGAAAAATATTGTCCCTTCCCCCCTGCCGACGAGACTGCTCTTCGTCAATAAGGCGCTTGGCAGCTTGTCGACATACGACACTGGTGGGGCTACAAATTTCGTATACGTTGTGAAGAAATGAGGAATGAATGAACTAGCAAGCAGGTGGGTACAAGTAGGAGAACCTAAAAGAGTTGTACCCCATATTGTCTACCCCACTACAGCCTACACAGACTATAGCATATGAGTTTGACACACCCCCATAGGCAAAGTGGGGGAGAACAAGAGGTCACAAGACCAGTCAAGCAAAGCAAAGCAAGCTCAGGGTGGATCACAACGTCACCACACAGTCCGAGCACAAGAGCAAGGCCACAAGGCCAGTTCACATGCAAGATCATATATAAAGGTAAACAAGCAAGTGCAGGTATAGAAGGATCACAGTACAAGCAAGGTCAAGAAGTGAGCAAGTGAGGCCAAGTAGGCACAAAACCTAGCATCGTACAGAAGCGCTG